GTGAGTGAAGATGAAAGCACGTGATAAAACAAGACTAAAGAAACAGAAAAAGGGGAGAAAGGAGAACATTTTAGAGATGAAAATGCTTCGTAGTGGTCAAGTTTCGAACCTGAGACCTTTTGAATCAGAGGCGAACTCCATACCTTTAGATCACGAGAACCCCCACATGCTCTTAATAATTTCTTTGTATTTAATTAGTAAGGTTTACAAACATTGTCTTTAAATAAAAAGTTGTTTGTTTCTTTATTTCTTTTTTGTGTGTTCGGAACAGATTCCTAAAATAATAAAGACGGAGATGTTGCCGAGACTCCCGGTTGGTATAAGTGCTCTTATACTCATCTCTGTTCTGTCAATCCAAGGAGCCAGTGGCTCAAATTTTGACGGGCATAGCCAATCTATAGCAATCAGACGCATGAACGATGATGAGGCCCAGAGGCAATTCGGCGACTTCCCGTTCCGGAACACCAGCTTACCATGGGATGAGCGTGTGAAAGATCTCGTGTCCAGACTGACCCTGGAGGAGATTCAGGTACAGATGGCCAGGGGTGGATCTGGAGAGTTTGGAGGTCCAGCCCCGGCTGTTCCAAGACTGGGCATTGGCTCATATCAGTGGGCTACAGAATGTTTGCGAGGTGACGGGTATTCCATTGAGAATGCAACGGGTTTCCCTCAGGCTATTGGTCTTGCGGCCACTTTCAGCCCGGATATTCTGTACAACGTTGCCCGAGCGACAGGTCAAGAAGTGCGAGCCAAACACAACGACTTTGTCAAAAGGGGTATTTTTAAGTCCCACACTGGTGCTAGTTGCTTCAGCCCTGTCGTCAATATCTTGAGAGATCCCAGGTGGGGCAGGAATCAGGAGACATACGGTGAGGATCCTTACATGACTGGTATTTTGGCACAAAAATTCGTCTCTGGTATCCAAGGTGAAGACTCGAGGTTCATAATGACCAGCGCTGGATGCAAGCATTTTGACGCCCATGGAGGGCCTGACAACATACCGGTGTCGACGGTCTCCTTTGACGCTGTCGTCTCTGACACAGACATGAGGATGACCTTTCTGCCCGCCTTCAAGAAATGTGTAGATGCCGGTACCTACAGCGTCATGTGCAGTTACAACAGTGTGAACGGTGTCCCTGCTTGCGCCAACAAAAAGCTGCTCACAGACATCCTGCGTACAGAATGGAATTTCAAGGGCTATGTCGTCAGCGACCAAGGTACCATCGAATTTCTCATCTCGAAACATAAATATTGTAACAATAGCGTGGATGCTGTGGCGGCCTGTGTTAACGCTGGTACAAATCTGGAACTTTCAAGTAATCTCCCAACGCCGGTATATATGTCTATAGTAGATGCTATTCAACAGGGAAAACTGACGGAGGATCTGGTGAGGGAAAGAGTCAAACCACTGTTTTACACACGCATGAGGCTCGGGGAGTTTGACCCGGAAAAAGATAACCCTTACGCCAAGCTGAGTATGGATCAGATCGAATCTGCTGAACACCAACAGGTTGCTGTCACAGCCGCCATGAAGTCTTTCGTGCTGTTAAAAAATAAAGGCAACATTCTACCATTAAAGAAAGGAGAGTTCAGCAAAGTCGCAATTATAGGACCAATGAGCGACGATACTCGACAACTGAGTGGTGACTACCAGCCTTTTCAGGATAAATCTTTCTTCACAACTCCTTTGGACGCAGTGCAACGTCTCTACCCCAATGCCAAACATGGACACGTCTGCACCGACAGCACGCCGTGTACACAGTACAATAAAGCTGCCGTACCTGCAATAGTCAAAGATGCAGAACTGGTATTTGTCGCTCTGGGCACTGGTCGCGCTGTTGAAAGTGAGGGACACGACAGGCCGGATGTCGAGCTTGCAGGACACCAAAAGGAACTACTTTTGGATGTTTTAGACAACAGCGGTGACGCTAAGATCATCTTGCTTCTCTTCTCTGCCAGCCCCCTTAACATTACGTTTGCCGACCAGTCAGACCGCGTGGTAGCCATCATGGAATGTTTCTTTCCCGCACAGTCTACTGGGAAGGCCCTGTACAATGTTCTGACCAACACCGGGCCGTATTCTTCCCCGGCAGGCAGATTGCCCAATACCTGGCCCCTATACAGTGCGCAGATTCCACCCATGGTCAACTACTCTATGGAGGGTAGAACGTACCGCTACTTCAGAGGCGACCCCTTGTACCCATTCGGCTATGGCCTCACCTACACCCAGTTCAATTTCTCTAATCTGATCTACAACACAACAATCAAGGCAGGAGATAGTCTGAATGTTCAGGTGGACATTACAAATGTGGGTGACGTTGATGGCGAAGAAGTTCTCCAATGTTACATAAGCTGGAGTGACAAGTCCTTGTCCGTTCCACAGCTGCAGTTGGCCTACTTTGACCGGATCCTCATAACCTCCATGCAAACGATCTCACGGCGTTTGTCTATATCTTCGGAGTCCATGGCGTTTTGGCAAGGTGGGAAATGGGTCATTAAAGCTGGTGGGATGAGTCTGTTCTGTGGTGGTCAACAGCCAAATCAGAAGAAACAGGTGCCGTCCAACGTCCTCTCTGGAACGTTCACCGTCACAGACTAGACTGCTTTTTAGAAGCAGTAATTTTAATTATATTATGTTTCTCTTGTCTGTGCATACACGCACATGAAAACGGGAGGTGTTTCTAAAACTAGAAATTGTATCTAGCTATTAATACAAACGTAAAGTTAACCATGTGGAGTAAGGCGTAATCAGAATAACATTTTTTTTCTTACTTTCTACTTTCTACTTTATGTTAAAATCGTGTACTGTTTTTTTTTTCTTTAGTAGACGTGGTTGACTGGCAGACGTTCGGGTGTGTGTTGCTTTTTCTGTTAAACATCTGTCATCTTTATTTCTTCTCCTCCTTTTTGTATTTGACTGTAATTCTTGTTTTCTGCCTCTGCATGCCCTATCTGTGTTAGATGCTCTGAAAGACTCAGACAAAAACTAAAAGAAAGATAGGCTTTACAGATAGAAAGAGAGAGAGAAAGAGAGAGATAGAATGAGAGAGGTGGGGCAGGAATCAGGAGACATACGGTGAGGATCCTTACATGACTGGTATTTTGGCACAAAAATTCGTCTCTGGTATCCAAGGTGAAGACTCGAGGTTCATAATGACCAGCGCTGGATGCAAGCATTTTGACGCCCATGGAGGGCCTGACAACATACCGGTGTCGACGGTCTCCTTTGACGCTGTCGTCTCTGACACAGACATGAGGATGACCTTTCTGCCCGCCTTCAAGAAATGTGTAGAT